GCACATGCGCGCGGTTCATTTGCAGTCTGGAAGCTGAGGGTAAACATGCTGTGGCTCTGACTGCAGCGCTCAGAGGGAGTGCTGTGGAAGCGGGAGAACAGGGTTCGGACGGGTGAGGCTCCCCACGGCAGACACCAGGAAAGTCGCTAGATTTGCTATTAGAATCGCTGCAGTGGTCTGAAAACTCGCTAAATATAGCGACAAAGTCGCTGAGTTGGCAACACTGCCTGCCCCTTGGTCTGCAGATTTTCACTGATCTGCATCTTTGTAAATCCAGATTAAAGTACCATAGAGCTGAAAAACGCTAACATCTACTTCCAGCCACCACCAACAGTAGGGAAAAAAACCCCAAGAGGTGACCAGGCCTGAGGCAGCTGCTGCTGGGGATTCCCAGTGATGGTGCACCGGCGGTATGTGGAGGTCTAAGCGGCTCAGACAGAGGAATAATATTTTAAAGTTCAAAGTCGCTCTTTGCCATTGAACACAGGAGCAGCAGAAGCATCAGACGCATCTGAACACACTTTACTGGACGTCTGACCTTCATGTTGATGAGCATCAGAAATGAAGCAGTGCTTCTGCTGCTTAAATCGCGGTGTATATGTAGCACACCATGGCACTTTAAGGAATGGAGACGTAATGACAACTGTATAAAACGAAATTTCGTTTTGTATACACTCTATACAAACAACAATGAAAATAGTCTAAGTCTAGATCTCCAATAAAAAAAGTCTAGATCTTCCTCTTCCATACACCTTCTGGTGGCTCCTGCCTCCTCTTCACAATGAGGATGAGGATATTTCTTCAGAATAATAAGTCCTTAGAGGCGCTTTAAACAAACGTATAGTCATGATTACTGCGAGGTCAAGAGCCTCCAGTCAGGATTTAAAATGTGGTGAACTGCTGTTTTGGAAACATAATCACCTTCGCCGGCCGCCTCAGATGATTAAAAACTGGACGTTGACCCCTGACCTTCTTCCAGTAATAAGGCTGCTCATCTGAAGGCCAAACTGGAAGCAGTCTGCTTTAATAAAGCAACTGCNTAAAAACTGGACGTTGACCCCTGACCTTCTTCCAGTAATAAGGCTGCTCATCTGAAGGCCAAACTGGAAGCAGTCTGCTTTAATAAAGCAACTGCAACACTGCTGGAAGAGATTTAAATCTGCTGCTCTGGGATTCCTGCTGGTGGAAAAGTCAAAGGCTCAAGCCGGGTATACAGTGTACGAGTTTTTGCCCTTTACGGGTAGACCCTCCAGTCGTGGCAGAATTTTTCGATGGGGCCAACTTTCAGCCTGATCGCGCATTGTGTAGTCAACAGGGGGTAACGAGGGGCGATCAGTCTCTCACGACCACATCACCATCAGGAATCGTAAGGTCGGGAGAAGGGTCAGATTTAGGAAATTTGATGCCCTAGGCAAAGACAGGCAGGGG